CACTTCAAGAGGGATGTGGACAGCATGGAGAGGGTCCAGAGGAGGGCCACTCGCATGATCAGGGGACAGCAGGGCAGGTCCTATGAGGACAGGCTACGGAACCTGAACCTGTTCAGCCTCCAAAAGAGAAGGCTGAGGGGGGATCTAGTGGCCTGTTATAAACTAGTCAGGGGGGATCAGCAGGCATTGGGGGAGTCACTGGTCCCCCGAGCACCACCAGGAGTGACCAGGAATAACGGTCACAAGCTGGCAGAGGGTAGGTTTAGGTTAGACATCAGGAGGCACTATTTCATGGTCAGGGTGGCTAGGGTCTGGAACCAACTTCCAAGAGAGGTGGTGCAGGCTCCTACCCTGGGGATTTTTAAGAGGAGGTTAGATGAACACCTTGCTGGGGTCATTTGACCCCAGTACTCTTTCCTGCCATGGCAGGGGGGTCAGACTAAATGATCTGCTCAGGTCCCTTCCGACCCTAGAATCTATGAAACTATGAAACAATAGTATAACTAAAATATCCATACTGTGGGATGCTGACATATATGGGGCAGGGGGGGAGATCATACCGCTTTACCAGAAGAGGGAGCATGATAGTTTGACCTAGTTCCCTGACATCTGTATAGATTGGGCACTTCACCAGGGCCTACTGAAGTGCTGAATCTATACAGACATTGGGCAAGCTGTGTCAAACTAACACAGTGCCTCTTCTGGTCATGTGCTGTACCTGGTGTGGGGGTGCACAAAGCTAAAAGTAAGGCTCCAATTTTTTTTCATGTCTTTATGTAGCTTTTATTATCTGTCTATTTAACATATATTAGTTTATTTACATGTGCAACTTATGGCCAGGGCTGTCCTTACAGGGGGGTGAATCGGGGTGACCACCCCAGGCCCCACACTTTGGGGGGCCCCGTGGAGCTGGGCAGAGTGGCTGTGGTGATTCCATGCTGCCACTGGCTTCACATTTGGCTATTCAGCATTGCCCCCTACCCCTGCTGCCAAATCCACTGCTGGCTTCCTTGCGTCCAGGGGCGGAACCCCGCACAGGCTGATTTGCCCCGGGCCCTGCACCTTGCTCAGCTTGTCTCTGCTTATGGCACACTGAAATCAGAATCTCTTAAAGTTGAGCTTAACCTGAAGCCAAATAACCCCTGCAGGATTTTTTCAACTGCAGAGAAGCTGAAGAATAAACTTGGCAGTACAGTCACTTTGTAGTCAAAATTGCTGTTAAAAAGTAGAACAGAGGAAAAAAGCTTATATGTGGTAGATCAAAAATGCAGAAGTGACTCTTTTGCATGCTTAATGTTTCATTTGCTATTTGTGTTATAGATTATGATCACTTCTGCCAGTTCAGTTTTCAACGATGCTGAAGAAAATGCTGCATCGTCTCATATTCAATTCATTGTTCTCTTTTCACTGTTTACTTCGCACAAATACATTCTGCTTGTCTGAAAGTAAGAAAATAGTATTCCCACACTAGTCCCAATCATTTGTGCTATAGGATACATATTCATGAAAGTGTTCCTCAATATATTTATGCAGTTATAATGATGATATGGCCACCTATTTTTGACCTAGCTGCAGACATGGCAAGGGCCATAAGAAAAAAAAACAGTGTATTTAATTAATTTTGTTCCCCAAGAACTTTTCCTCATGCACCAAGATAAATTCATCTTATTGTGTATTTATCTTCAAGTTCATTTGAACTCTGATACTAGTTCTGTAAGTTTCCATGAAAAGAAAACAAAGCAGTGATTACATAGTTTCATACATTTTCAGTCTCTTACTATTGTTAGCATCTCACTTGATTATTCCAAAGTGCTGACAATTGGTAAAATCATTCAGCTGACAAATAAAGCTATTGTGACCTACTGCAACTTATAACTTTTTTGAACAAGAAATACAGACACTGCATTTTACTTGGCAATATCTGAAAAAAAAAGTACTTCTGATCATATTATAAAATCACAGAAGTGACATTTAGCTTACTGGCTTGCTACATCTGAAATATATATATGTGTACACACACACACACACACACACACACAAGAAATGCTGCACAGTAGTTCCTTATATTTCTGTTTCACAAAAGAGTTATACCCAAGAAGGAAGCTTGTACAACCTAAGCTGATGCCTTCTAGACAGTAAAAAGTATGCAGTTCTTAGAGTTTGTATGTCCCAGAAGTGAATATTGGCACATACAATTATTAAATAATGTATTGTTTCTATAGGTATAATATTAAATTCAAATTTTTTAAACACAGCAACCAGGAAGCAAATATGATTCAAGCAGGAGTTGGTATAGTTACAGGTTGGTAAAATTCTACTCCTAAGATCAGTTTCCAGTGTCCCATAGCTTGACCTGTGACTGTTGCCTGCATCACTATTGCCTCAATACTTTTTGTTCCTCCACCATTTTACTCCCTTCTTTTTTTTGTTGTCTCCCAGACCACCTTTCATCTACCACCTTGTTCTTGAGTACTCTCCATTTTGCTGTACGTGTCCAAAAAAACCCTAGTTCTTGCTCTAATAATTCAAATTCTTCACTATTGCAGCTCTCCTCTCTAATAACCTCTTTTACATAAAGTAGCCATTGTCTCTTCTTTTCATTAGCCTCTTTTACACATCCCAAGTCATTTATGCATTGATCCATTTTCTAATTTGGATAGCAGTTTTTATAAATAGTTGTATCTTCTTTCGTACTTATCGATATGTTACAATATTTACTGTAAAAGTGAAACTATTAATTTCAAATAGTTTATCAGATCTGAATTATTTACCTGAAAATGTTATATTGAAGCCTTCATAAGAGATTGAGAAGTCAGATATAAATCGAAGCTGTGCAGTGAAGTTTCCAAAGAGGCCAGCTTTAATTGTCGGGGGCAAGACCAAGCCAGTTAGTCTTGCCACTGGTTCTGTGAAGCTGCCATCCTCAGCGATGAGCAAATAGTCATGAGAGCTCTCCAGATGAAATGTATGAAAGGCCAGCTGTACTCCTTAAAAAAAAAAAATATATATATATATA